GGTGTATGGCTGCTAGTAGTTTTAACCAAACTGGGAAGGAAATAGCAAAATCCTGTGGAAACTACAGTACATTATTGCTTTTTTTCTGGTATGTCTGACATTACAGGAAAACTAGTAATTTGGGACATGTTTCTGGAAATCAARTAATTTTTTTTTCTTTTATAAAAACTTACAGGAGCCTGAACAAATAATGAGAACAGTAGATTAGGCACAGACATAGGATATTACAGTTCCACCTATTCAAATTCAGGTAAATTAGATTGAGTTTAGCAAGTCCAGTTTGTTTTGTTTTCAGTCTTGGGCTGAAGAGTTTTTAAATGGTGATTAGCATGGGGAGACATATGACAGACTCCACACCCACAGAGCAGGTGTTTTTTGCCTATTCAAATCTTCTCCCTCAACAGTCTTTGAGAGCAGAATAATCTAATTTATTCTTGAAAACAGACTTAATTTTAAAACTTAATAAGAAMATTATTACTTTTCTGTCAAATACATGGTTAAGGTTGCTCACTGGTACTTTGSAAAGAATTTCTGCTGCACTCTTGATATGAATAAACCAATGCATAGGACAACCTTCTTTGAAGAAAGCTTTGCCATGCTCTGGAACTGAGCTGGCAGAACAGTTCTTTTATGGAGGTCCTATGGTTTGGAATGTGAAATTGCATGAAATGGAGGCCTTGGAATATGTGAATCATGGATGTAGTATGTGGTTGATAAACTAGCTTCAGGCTAGATAAAAGCTTCTTTTCCTGCTTTACTCTGATTCATGAGCCYTTCATTGCCACAGTGTTTAGAACTTGTGTGTTACAAAATCAYACTGGAAATACAAAATTGTGCTAACAGTTTTTTATATCAACTTTTTTGTTTTAGAATAAAAGTGTTAAGCTTGGATGACCAAAYGCACCCATTCACTTTGGGGTTTTCTTCTTACCATTAAACTGTTGGGTTTTTTTTTTTTCCATCATTATCAACACATGGTTACAGGAAGCTGCTCTAAAACTTGAAATAAKTTTTCTGACAGGTGTACTGCCCCTTCTCTCTTTTTCCCAAATCTACCTTCTTTTCAAAGGCTTCAATATAAAGATTAAGTTTGCAGAAAACCCCAAAAATCAGGTAATCTGGCCTAAACTCATTATTAGCAGGTTAAGAAGTGGTTTTCAACTCAGATACTACTTTGTCTCCTGGGGGTTTTTATGGCTTTAGGCATTTGAAATCTGGAATTTTTAAAAGACACTAAGTTTAATTGAATGCYAGCTCAAACAATGTTACAGCTTGTTTAAAATATACCTTTTCCTCCAAGTTTGTAACTTTCCTTCATATTACGAGAGAACAGTCTTTTAAGAAACACTGAGCATTTTCAACATGTGAAGAAGATCTTATCGAATTGGGATATATGTTTCAAATATTCCTCACACATAAGCAAATAACAAACGGATACCACTTCTGTGCTATTTGTAAAGAAAACTGTCTTGGAGGGTTCGTAGTCAATATGAATGTAGGTCTGAATTTTCCTTCCAAGAAAGCAAAGCCATTGATCATGAATGGAAGTTGGTTTCAGTTATCATAGCTTAATTTTAAATATAMTGTGGGGAACAGTTATCATAACTTAATTCTAAAACTTGATGCCAGACTTTATTGTGTCATTATCTATTAAATATCCAGTTTGCTGACTGTGCCATCTGTTCTTTCTGCAGGGCATGAGAAGGAAAATGAATCACTTAACCATCCAAAACACTGAGTGGTACTTGAATCAGATGCACAAAGATGGCATAAAACTAAAACTGAATGGATATTACTTTGGAAGATTAATCTCTATAGAAGTTCTCTTATAGAGATGTCATCTCTATATAGAAATGTCATCTACCTTGCCTACTCTAGCTGTTTTCAAAACAAATTCAGACATCTYAGACAATCCTTGGTTCAAGGAGGAATAATTTAAAACTAGGCCTCTTATGGTCACTTTTGATTCAAGGAGATCCTAGTATGTGCAGAGCTGGGATTTATAGGAATACTTTCAGTTATTTAAGTGCTGCAATAATTTTTTGAAGGTGAAAGGCTTGCATTAAATGAGGCTGTGAAGTGCTGCGCAGTGTTTGATCCAGAATGGTCTACTTGTGGTTGCCTGTGCTTGTTCTGAGAGCAACATTTGTGCAAGTTCAGTGTCTGATTTGTCTCTTGCTTTCATGCAGATCAATATAGATGAATCAATAAAGATAACCTTCAAATGCCAGCCTTTCAGGCAGGACAAAGAGTGGTTGCAAAAAGAGGAGAGTATTGCCTTGAAATCTGTCACCCTGCCTTTGTCTCTCCTGCCATTTTCAGTTGCTTGTTTTGCATCATTCTGTTTGTCTTAAGGAAAATCTGCAGTATCCCTTGGGGAATTACTCAGGCTTTACTCAGGGTGTGTTGTAACTGGAGTTCACACAGATTGCACTTCAGACTTTTAAGAGCCAGAGCAACAGCACAAGTAGGGCTGCTGGCCCCTGCTGCATATTCCRTCGGAGGGGAAGAAAATAGGAAGTCAGAGAAGATAGGTTAAGCTCATATAAGAAAAGTATTGTTGCACAAGGGCTGCTTTGTGACCCCTACTTGTAAATATGCTGTGAAACAAAAAGTCCCCATCCCAAATTAATTTTGTTAAAAAACATCAAAACTAGACTATCAGTGCCCAAAGCTCCAGTAAGAGAGTAGGGGAGAGATGTGGGGCTGCCTGYTGCTTGAGCATAAGATTGGAAGAGACCAGTGAAAACTGGGATTTTCAGGCACATGGGATATCAAAATAAACAGGTAGTGATATGAACAGCTATCTAACTTTATTCTCTTTGGCCTCCTGCCCAGATTTGAGGTGTGCTAACTATATAGCCTCTCCAACAAAGCTGTGGAAAAAAAGCGCTGGAAATCAGATGTTTCCTGTTGGCAGTGTTCCCTTAGTCCCYAAGCATTAGGTCTTTGCTGGAACTCTGGCATGTGGGAGAACTACGGGCCCAAGGGAGGGGGAACAAGGCTCAGGAGGAACAGAAGCTGCTGGRGCTTGAGGGGTTAGTTCAGAGATATGGGAAGAGATCTGTTCTGTCTGAATTCCCAACATTTCACAATACCCAAAGAGTTTTACAGTGTTATGTYTTTCTGGAGAGGGGAGGGTGAGAACTGCATTGTGGAAGATTTAAATAGCTTGACCTGTCTCAGAGTTGATAATTACCAGATTTCTGCAAGCTAAGTGGAGAAAAATTTAACTGCAGTATGGAAAAATATTATAGCACTGCTTGTGAAGATACTGGAAATACAAACAGCCCCAGATTAAAGACTGGTGAGTTTTGCAATGTCTGGATTGTAAAATAACGTAACCAGAAGCTTTATGAACAGGGACAAGCAATTACCTTGTGACCAGACCTTGTAAGAAACAAAATAAGAACCTAATGGAAGGCTTTTTTGAGTTGTACATAGGTAATAACTTATGTTAAGTATTAAATAAACAACTTCCAGTTCTTAAGCTTTAAGGCTTAAGAATAATTTTTTTTTTCTTGAACAAATTGTAAGACACTGGAAATGAAGATTACATTGTAGCCTTTCTCACCAAGGTGATTGTCAGTCTGCTACTGAAATGAAACAAAATAAGAACATGGTTCCACTGCTGCTGAGCCAAAGACATCATTATAGTGATTTACCTTTTGAAATAATTCAACATTTATAAGCATAATTTGAAATTCTGCCCAACAGTTCTGCAAATCAACTCCTGTTTTCAAATGGATGTTGTAAACAAGAAATGTAAGATGCAGGGCAATACTGTGTCCAGATTAAATCACAACCACTTACTTCTCCCTGCTTATCTAGCATTAGTATCTAGATAAATGGAATCCGGAAGGAGCTTGTTGCATATGCRTATCAGGATGGAAAAACACTGTAAATTTGTGTTTAAATTTAAAAGGCACTCATTTAAGTTTTCTGGTTCCAAATACTGACCCTGAAAAGCTAAGTAATAAACTTAGCAACTGTTAYACCTCTTGCGAATGATCTGGTGAATGTCAGTCAAAGGGTTTGTGACAGACTGTTGTAGCCTGCTAATGCTGTGACCAAAGGGAAGTTGTGTGATATACAGCTTGAAACAGAAATATTGAACTTAGTTTTCCAGCAGGTTATCTCACTAAAAGTTCTGTTGTCTTGCCCATGCCACTGTGCTTGATTTTCACTGCAAACTTAAAAGGATCAAGCTGACTGAGATTGAGACTTTTCTGAGGAATCTCAACAAAGACATCAGTAACACAAACAGTTGATGAAGGTTGGTTGTAAAAATACTAATTTTAGTTTTATAGAACAACTTCTTAAAAACTATTTGCAGTTAATATATATTATGTTTTGCAAAATACTTCGTAAACCAGCAATTAATTTTATTGCATTTCACCATTCATTAGGCTGTTTCCCAAGAGACAGACTTTTGATTTAAATCAGTTTCTTTTTGCAATCTTAGTAGCTGATAGGTCAGAAGTGTAAACACAAGTTGCTTTGGAGAGGGGTCTGCTTAGGGCCTGCCTGAGATATTTTGAGAGAAGCTGGCTTGGATATTCCTGTTGTGCATATGATTGTACGTTCTTTTTTTAGGCCGCGTCTGTGCCGTTGCTCTCATGTTTTCGAGCTGACTAGCTATTTTTCACCTTTCTCCCAGCCGGTTCAGAACCCCAGGCTGCGGTGAGCCCTTAGAAGGCCCGTTCCGGTCACTCACCAGCCATTCCCTGGGGAATGCAGCGGCAGCGCTCCCCCATCCGCCGCCCTCCCGGCCTCCCTCCGCCACGCGCGGCGGCCGCGCCGGGAACGTGAGGGCGCACGGCGCGGCCCCGCCCCCCGCCGCGAGCCGCGCCCCTATTGGCCCCGTCGCTCGCGTGCCGGCGCTGTTGTGACACGTGAGGGCGGCGCACGTGGGGGCGTTATGTAAGGCGCGGGGGGAAGGGGCGGGGCCGGCAGGCGCGCGTGCGGCTGGGGCGGCGCGCATGCGCGGTGGCGGCGAGGGGCGGGGCCAGGCCGCTCTGCTTGTGCTCCCTCCCCGCACAGAGGCCCCGGAGCTCCCGAGTGACAATGAAGCAGCAGCAGCARCAACAGCAGCCGCTACAGCCGCCGCCGCCCCCGCAGCCTTCGCAGCAGCCGTCGCCTCCCTTCGCYAGCCCGGGGGTGCCGGCCTTCCTCAGCAAGCTGTGGGCTCTGCTGGGCGAGACCCCCAGCAATCAGCTCATCACCTGGAGCCAGGTCGGCCGCTCCCCCGCTCACCCCCCCTTCCCGCCCGCGTGTGCTGGATCCCCCGCCATCACGCTGCGCTTCGCTCCGGCGGCCACCGGSGCCTGCTGCGGGCCCTAGGCCTCGGCGTGCGCGTGGGGAGGATGGAAAATGAAGGCACGGCCGCATGGCTGGGTCGGTCTCTGGCTGGGCTGGGCCCGGCCAGGCTGAGCTGAGCTTCAGGGGAGAGGCCGGCTCTGCCTCCTCTCATCAGTGGCGCAGGAGCTCTGGTTCCCGCCCTCGGGACGTGTCCCCAGGCACCCCGCGGATAGGGGGGGGTGTCTGTAGGCCCTTGAGCAGKCTCGGGCCTCCGTGGTGTTAGGAAGGGCCCCGGGAGTCGGGGGTTTCTGTGGGCGTGCGGGGAACGCGGAGCTGCGGGGAGATTTCCCAGCGCGGGGTGGTGGGTGCGCCAGGAACGGGGCTCGCTGTCGGTGAGCCAGGGCTGCGGGAGAGCTCTGCGGGAGGATGGCGAGAGCGGCGTGCTCAGGCCTGTTGTTGTTTCCCGTGTGCCCCGCGCGGGGCCGGATCCTGCAGGGGCGGTGGGGAGCGGCCACGTGGGGGATGGCCGGGGGCTTCCTGGCCTCAGTGGCCACCCGCTGGCTCGGCGGGAACGGGATGAGCTACGGGGGAAGTCGATTTGGCCACCAGTATTATAGTACAGCGAAGGGCTGGCAAGTTGGTGCAGTGATCATCATTTACAGTTGCGCTAAATGCTAAGCACATATTTTAATAATAGCTACTTCATTTTTTTCTACATGCCGTTTTCAGTAATAAATTCCTGTTCTCAAATTCTGTCAGTATCTTTAAGTGTTATTGAGTTAAACTCAATTTAGAGCTCCTGCTTSAAATGCTTGAGAAATGTTAAAATGTCTTAAACATTTTACTGAAAATGGTTTACCATTACCTTCAGCCAAAACTTCCTGAAGAGGGAGGCAGGAGTCAGTAGATTATGGGAGTTCTTCTTTCTTTTTTTTCTTTAATTATAATTTTTATTTTATTTGCTTGTTGTTTGTTTGGGGTGGACTTTTTCTTGTGTGGTTTTTTGGGTTGGTTTGTTTTGTTCTTTTTTTTTTTTTTTTTGGAAGAGAGACACTAGGGGCTGCGTGAACATTGATGTTGTCTCCATTAATGTATGCTATTTTTGCTATTGTATACTTTTAATGGAGAATTTCCAAATGCATTGCTTATGTTTATCTCAAGTAAACACACTTAATACCTGTTAGTTATCCTTGTATTATTTTTTAAATTAACAATTAAAGTAATTATTTGAGATTCTGCAAGGCTGTTTCTAGAGGGGATGATCCACCCATCACAGTTGATATTATTAGCAACCAGCAGTTGGGAGGGACGCATTGGTATTGCTTAAGATATCTTTTAAAAAGTACTCTTGTGTTGATATTGTAGGGTGCAAAAAGTGTACCCAGTGTATCAGGGAAGGGAGAGWACAGTTATTCTGATGTTTTACTTTCCTCCTATACAAATCTGTATTCTTACACTGTAAGGATAAATGCCATCTGAAATAGTACAGCCATATTTTTGTCTCCCTACAAAGTGAAGCCACCGTATGTGTTGTCCATGGAAATAYGGATGAGGAGTACCAAATGAAGCACTTGGAAGACTGCTGTATGCTGCAGTCACTGGCACTAGGAGTTGAAAATCACATTTAGCTGTGTTGTGAAACTTATAGGTCATAATATCTGTACAGCCTTGCTGTAAATGACTGTCGAGGCAACAGGAGCTAGTGTATGTGTTTCCCAGATTTTCATGTGTTAAATCTTGACAATGTCAAAGYGATGAGAAAGTGAGGTGCCACATGGAAGTTGTCTGTTGGTGTCACTGGTCATTGTAGTATCAGTTGGTTCAGCAACCTTCAGTTTGTGAGTTTCACACACAGCATTGGCTAAAATAGTTTGTTCCTGCCATTTCTTCTGCTTCCCCTTCCACTGATTTGATTCTCAGCAGGAGGTAGGTGGGCATTACTGGAAGTTTTCATCTCCCTACCTTCCTCTCAATGCTAAGCTTCTAAATCGTCCACTGGAGAGCCATTTATAAAATCCTSTTTCTAATTCTTGCTGATTTGTCAGGAACAAATTGTTGTGGTGTAACCCCAGCTGGCAGCTAAGTACAACATAGCCACTCACTCACTTCCCCACACCCTAGTAGAGAAAGTAAAACTCGTGGGTTGAGATAAAATCCATTTAAAATTGAAATTAAGTATAAAGTGTAATATAATAGTAATAAAACAGAGAGAAAACCCAAGAAAGTAAATGGTGCCCAATACTATTACTTACCTCCTGCTGGGTAACTTTCCCGGTTTTACATTTGGCGTGATAGTCCATGGTATGAAATATCCYTTTACCTAGTTCTGGTCAGCTGTTCTCCCAGCTTCTTGTGCACCTGCTCACTGGCAGAGCTTGGGAAGCAGACAAGACCTTGACTTAGGGTAAGCATTGCTGAGCAGCAAGCAAAACATCARTGTATTGTCAGCATTATTATCTTACTGAATCCCGTAGCATAACACCGTACCAGCTAAGAAAAAATTAATTCTATCCTAGCTGAAACAAGGACACCAGCGTTTGGACAAAGGTCTGCCTATGGTCTTAGTTGGTTCTTTAAGCTTCTTGGGATCACAGAACTGCTGGCATTTGAGGATAAGAAAAGTGACTCATTAGTCTAAAAGGCCTCTAAGAAGATGCAGTAAGAGTGTTGACATTTGTTGAAGATAAGACATTTTATTATCCATGAGAGTACCATGGATGTGTAGACAAAACCTAAACCATTTTGAAGTAGGAAATTTGCATTCTGGTGATTACTTGCCCTGTAGTTGAATGGAGCACAGTCATTGAAGAGCAAAGAGCTGATCTTTCTATTTTAGTTAAAGGTTGTGGATTAAATAAAAGACCAGTTCTCCCTCACAACTAGCATTACAKGGGAAGGGAACTCTTGCCTTAGGTGGCTACATTTTTGGTAACTCCAGAACCTGGTGGATACCTGAAGCTCTTTGGCAGCTCTTTCTGTTCCACAAGGCCTATCAAACTATTCATGCTTTCATACTGAAAAGCAGATAGGATTTCTAGCTGGTTGTTCGTATTTTTTCCTTGCTCAGGTTCTTTGTTAAGATTCCTTACCAARGTTTCAAAAGTGCATTCAGAATTGGTAGTATTGTTCATTTCTGAGAAAATGTGTAACAATAGAGAGGTTCCCCGTCAGATACAAATAGTGATGTGAATGGATAGTATTCAGTTGCTTTGCATCTGGAAGGTTTCTACACTTTTTGTTTTGGAAAATTGTGGGCAAGCACATCAGTAATGTACTTCATGCACAAAGGAAGCATTCCAGTCTGGTGATTAATTCTAAAAACCCAATGTGTTTYCTGCTATGGTTTTTAAGTACCTTAATGTGTCTCTCTCATTTTAGAATGGCAAGAGTTTCTTGGTGCTGGATGAACAGAGATTTGCAAAAGAGATTCTTCCCAAGTACTTCAAGCATAACAACATGGCGAGCTTTGTCAGACAGTTAAACATGTGTAAGTACCTACATTTTTGTATTCTAACATAGTTTAAATCCTGTACATAAACATTGAGATATAATTTCCTTTGAGCAGTGACCTTGTGTTCTCTGCTGCTAGGATACTGTCTTATTGTTAAAATTGGTAACAGGATGGTTGGGACAGCATACTTAGAATTTCTTAATGTAGGTTTTGAGGTTTTTCTTTTCTTTTTCTTTTTTTTTCGAAGATGGCTTCCGTAAAGTTGTCCATGTTGATTCTGGGATTGTCAAACTGGAGCGAGATGGTCCAGTAGAGTTTCGGCATGCATATTTTAGGCAGGGCCGAGAGGACTTGTTGGAACACATTAAAAGGAAGGTTAGTGAAAATTCAGTATATGGAAAMCCTGTACTATTAAGTATTGATGAATAGCAGAGCTTATGTCAAGTTTCACTGSAGGATTGTGAGTGCAAATAAGTTTGGAGTTTATGGAAACAAACTGCCCTGCTTTCATTTTTATCTTGAGCTTGTTCAAATATGCTTTGGGGGATTTGACAGGGCTTTTTTATCTAACCTACTTTGTTATTATAGTTAAATTTCACAGGTGGCAAAAAAGAGTTACGTAATATGACAGTTTGCAAATGAGCATTAGAAGTGCAGAGGATGCTTTGACTTTACCATCAGCAATATGAGAAACTGCTTGTTTATGTAGCTTTTTCAGAGCAAACCTCCTTTAAGCATTAAACTTTACACTTGAGAGAACGGGGAAAACCTGTAAATATGTTTGTTACGCTTCTGAAATGTGCTCTGCTGGTGCTGAGTCATGTGGATATAGATGGCAAATAGAAATATGGCAAATAGAAATATGGCAAATTAAACTGAATGTCATGGTTAACCCCAATCAGCAGCTCAGCCCTACACAGCCATTTGCTCACTTCCCCCCATGCCAGAAAGTGGGAGTGAATTGGGAGAGTAAAAGTGAGAACACTTGTGGGTTGAGATAAAGGCAATGTAATAAGTAAAGCAAAAGCTACGCACACATGCAAAGAAAAACCAGGAACTCATTTCCCACTCCACATGGGCAGGCAGGTTCAGCCATGCCCAGGAAAGCAGGGCCCCATCACATGTAATGGGGGCTTGGGAAGACAAATGCCATCACTCTCAACATCCCCTCCACTTYGTTCTTTTCCCACCATTTTTATATGCTAAGCATGCACACCATATGGTATGGAATGTGTGTGCCCTCCCAATTTCTTGTGCAGCCCCATCCAGCTTCTGGTGGAGTGAGGTGAGAAGCAGAAAAGCTCTTGACTCTGTGCAAGCACTGCTCAGCAGTAACAAAACCATCTCTCCATTGCCAACACTGCAGCACAACTGCACAAGTACACGACACAGCCCCATATTTTCTACTGTGAAGAAAATTAACCCTACCCCAGCCAAACGAGCCCAGAATGATGTTYTTACTGACACTGGGTTATTGTGAAGCAGTTATGATGAAGTAGAGCACTTGGGAAAATGCCTTAAGAGTCCGAATGTACACAAATGTTTGTGACAACTAAAGCTAATATGGTGACACTTGTGCTTCTGGTTTATGGATTTTTCTGATGCTGGGTTTATTATTAAGTTAAACACGTATTTTATTAACATCAGTAAGAAAGTATACTTGATCACTGAAAGAGACTAATAGTTAAGCATGAGTAAAGGGAAGTGTTGTTTCTGGATTTTAATCTTTTAAAGGTTTCTTCTTCGAGACCTGAAGAAAACAAAATACGTCAGGAAGATCTCTCTAAAATAATATGCAGTGCTGAAAAGGTGCAAATTAAACAAACGACAATTGAATCTCAGTTGTCTCTTTTGAAGMGGTGAGTTGCTTCATCAGTAACTGATCCTTAATGCTGAGTAATTGTGATACTAGATATTGRACTAAGACCTAATTTTTGGTGTGTCTTGATTTCTGGTTGCCTAACTTCAGTTATTGCTTTAGGAACAWAAATCTCAATTGAAAAATTGCTTCAAAATTGAATGTTCTGACATTGTTAAAAGTAATAGGTAATGTTTGTGTTTGCGGAMCTGCCTAGTAGTAGGCAAATAAATCCATATAGATGCTGAGGCTGAATATTTAAATCAGTTTGTAGTATAAAGTATGCTGGTTTTTGTCTTAGGTTTGAAATAGTTACTGTATTGGGTTTGAGGCAGAGTTTGATTTGTGCAATTTGCATATACGACAGTGTCTTTGCTCATTGTTTTTTATTTTCCTGTTATTGTGCTCATTCCCCCATTGTTTAAAATCACAGAAGAGTTAGTGCCTATGCAAATGTGTTTAGAGATCTAGTTTGGAAATTCYATTAGTTACCTCATTGACAGAGGAACAAAATCTAAAATCTGAATGTAAATAGAGGCTTTTTAAAAATTACCTTATTGCCTGGTTAAAAACTATGATTGATTCTTAACAGTGAAAGAAATGTGTGTCCCAAATTACTTAATCCTGTGCAGTATCCAGATACAGATAAGATATATGAAGTCATGCACTGTAAGTCCCATCATCCTAATAGAAACTGTCTTAGGACCCCTTAACCTATGTTGAACAGTGAYGGTGTATCTCTGTGGCAAAGGTCTCCAGTTAGTTCAAGTTCTACAAAGTAAATTCTCTCATTTCTAYCCTACAATTCCAGTGACTTGTGTGGTATTCAAAGGCAAACTTCTTTTGCCTAGGCATAGTCTTCATCGGCATCTGGCTAGTCTAGCGTAAAAGTCATATTTTCCATTTTGAAATCCTAGACRAATTTGGGTTGAAGTGAACCACAGAAGGCCATCAGATCTAAACCGCTGCCTGGAGCAGGGCTGACTTTGTCTGAAATGATGGCTAGTTGCTGATGACCTGACTGTTTGTGTAGAGGAGAACGTAGTAGTTGGTCTTTGACATCCATACCATCAGTTTAAAAAGATTGAGGTAGAAACGGGAGCTAAATCAGAAGAACTGGTCCTGCAAAATATGTTGATAAAGCTAGTGACAAGATTAAGAAAGTTCAGAAWCCCTAACTTCTGTTGTTAATTTTGTGATGGAACTGTACTCTTAAATTACATGTTGGGCATATGAGCAGTTTGAGGAGTTAGTAGTACACTGCATCGCACTGCATACGAGCAGCTGTTTCTGAAAACTTAGTTTAAGGTTTTCTAAAAACCCGAACACCAGTGGAGTTTGCTTCTCTGTGTTGAAAATTAAAGTGCAAAAGAGGAGAGGTGGTATGTTGACTTCCCATATTCATTGAAGCTTCTGTATTCATTATCTACCTCTTCCTATGGCATACACTGTTGGAAAACAAGGCTCATGGTTACAATAGGGCAGTTTTCACACTGTCTCAGTAACTGGAGTCCTATGACTACTGGAATAACCAAAGTTTGTAAAATAGCATGAACACTACCACTGACTACTCTGACATGCTCCCATTAGTTTTTATTACCTAACATGCCCTTTTACTGGAGTTGATAGAAGTAATTGTTAAATGCTGGTAGTTAATTTTTAAATGCTGAATATATGGGCAGTGATTATTGCCAAATTTGGGAATTTTTTTCCATTAAAACAGCTGGAAATTCTCTGCAGGCAAATTGTTGTGTTTGGATCTCTGTTCCGTAGTTACTTTGCAAGGCTACTTGCTGACTGTGTGACACTCCCACACCAGCCCCTAATCTAAAAACACTTTTCAGAGAGTTTTAATGGAACCAACTGATCTTTAAGAAAAATTAATATAAATGCTTTATAGCTTAGTTTTAGTTTGACTTTTAAATCATCATTTTTGAACAGAGAGAATGAGTCCCTTTGGAGGGAAGTGTCAGAACTGAGAGCAAAACACTTGCAACAGCAGCAAGTTATTCGAAAGGTAAGGCTTCATTCAAGTGTCGTGTATGCATGAGTAGGTGTTTCTGAACTGGGAATGCTATGCCATGTTACCTTGCTTTCCCCTTACTCAGCTTTTTGTAATGTGAAATCTCTCTAATAGAAAAAACAACAGGGTGGTAGTATATGGTGAACAAATCTTAGTGCTCAAAACCATTGAGGATATTTTACTGCATAAGCAGAAAATAAGGCTAAAGTCTTGTAAACATTTTCAAAGGAAGAGGTACAAGAACATCCTGCATCAGTCATTCAGGTATCTTCAACATKGTCCATCCATTTTTTATTATTTTGGGAATCAGATGTCTAATTCTCTGTTGAGTGATCTCAGGAAAAACTTTCTCACTGCAAGAATTATGAGATTCTGTATTGAAAGTTCACTGCTGTCCCACTTAACAGACCCACTGATTGTATATTCCTAAAGTTACCAGAGCAATAGATAATTGACCCATTAATGGGTCAATAGATAATGGGACCCATTTGATAGTATATTAACTTAGCTTAGTTTAACAGATAGATTTATGATCTACCAAAACTTATTTTTTAACGTATCAGAAGGGGTATYACTGCAAGTAGCCTTGTTGCAGAGACATACTGAATTTTCTTCCCAGTTTCTTCAAGTCAGATACRTACATTAAAGCCTGTACTGTTAATTGTACATGTAATTTTTTCTGAATCTGTCAAAAATGCCTTTTGCCAGAGCCAGTATTTACAAACACAGGTTATGCATACAGTTTACATCCCTRTATGCCTTCAGTCATTGCTAATTAGAATTCTTTCAATCGTTTGAGTTGCTCAGTTCTGTGTACTGTATGATGTAGTGTAAAAGTCTTATCACCTGCCATGTGAGAAGTCTTTCCTGGACAATTGAGTAACTATTTAGATATTACCAACGCTGGCGTTTACCTTGATTTGTATTTTTTCTGAACAGCTTTATATAAAAGTTTATACAGAGTTTGTATACAGTTTATATATTATACAAAGGAAGTGTTTTGCTGTTTATGTATAGATTTTATTATTGGCGTCGTCTGCTATAAKATATCTTGGTACTCAAGACAAACAATTACAATGTAGAGCAACCAACAGTRGTGTTCTCTCCCTTACAGATTGTACAATTCATTGTTACCTTGGTGCAGAATAACCAACTAGTGAGCCTAAAACGCAAGAGGTAAATATGATCTTGAAAACTTGCTGTCCACTTAGTAAACTGACAGCCCTTGTTGATTAAAAACCAAAGAACTGGTTTTRAGATGGTTTTCTTCCTTTACTGTTTCTGATGTAGGCCTCTACTTCTGAACACTAATGGACCTGCAAAGTCGAATGTATTTCAGAAAATTGTCAAAGAGCCAGCTGAAAGTAGCCACCATGTAAGTATTCTATTGCGAGTACTCTCTATTATGATAGGAGTACAGGTGGGCAGATGGAACAAGTTCATTTTGTTGTATGGAGACTAAAATGGTGCTATGTACTGAGAGCTCTCCATCTGTAGCAGTGATAGCCATGTTCTTTCCTTCAGAAGCTAAATGTGTTGATAATCACCATTCACTTTCCAACATAAGCATGTATAAACCAGTTACCTGTGTATTAAATATAGCTTGACTGATCCTGCTGAAAGCAATTGGCTTTTGAGAATGGTGCTGTTAGAAATAGCATATCTAAATGTTGCATTGTTATCTCTGGGAGTGTGGGCATCCCTGACCCCATACAGGGACAAGGGTTGAGTTTGTTGCTCCTAAGGCAGCATCCAGCCCAGCAGAATCATGTCATGTTCATGTTACATTTGAATGAATCATGGCACTGAAAGCTGTTTTCTTCTGTCCAAATAATCATTGGTGGGGAAATCGTTAGAACAAGTGCCATAGTATGGCACTAGAATTAGWAGTATTGTTAAGATGCCATGATAACAGTCAAAATGCTGAACTYGTCATCCTTCTGTGCTCTGACATTTAAAAATAATTCTCAGGTACCTCTCAACAGAAATGAGGGCTTAAAACAAAGGGAACAGATTTCAGATGACATTGTTATTTATGATGTCACTGAGGATGTGGGTGAGGAAGAACACCCTATGGCTGATGAAGAAAATCTTCCCATTACACCAGAAACAAGTGAAGATACTACTTCAGATTCTTCCAAGTAAGAAGTCTCAAGAACTGTATGTAGATAAATGACTTTCAGTGTTGTATAGCGTGTAGTAATTCTGATGTTGTATATCAGTGAAGTAGTTAAAATTATTCAGCACTCCTGCACATATAGAAACTTCATGTGTGAATTCACACTAGATTTTGATTTATTGACCTCTGGATTTGTTCCAAAACAGTTAATTGGCTGTTGGAGTTTTGATATCAGGAGGATAGATGCAAACTGGTGACAACAATCTGTATTATTGCATTCTAGTTAAATATGCTCATTGTCTGGAGCCAGAGTAAGAGAATTCTTCTTGCCTTCGGTTATRTATACAGACAGGAACAACTTAGCTTGTTTTTCCAGGTTTTTGTGGAGAACAATTTACATGTGGTGTTCGTTAAGTATTGGTGTGGTCTCTGCATTAAGCCAGTTGATTTCTGTGCTTTTTTACAGTCACAGTTGTTTTGTGATTATGTTCCTTCCTCTGTGTACTCTGAGCAACTCAGGTGAACAGAAGCTGTTCATCTTTCAGCTACAAGCAAGTTGAAACTTGATCCAGGGATTTAGATACAACTCTCTTCTTGAGTTGCATTGGATTGATAGGGCCTGTATTATCCGTTAAAGGATAAAAACTTAGTATTTGTAGTTTATACTTGAATTGGTACCATTGTTCTTGCTCAGCTGATGTTTGGGAATGGATTCTCTGATAGAAAAGCTTCATGAGGATAGAGAGGCAACATAACTAACAGCTATTTAAGGGTTAAGAACCAGAATATGGATGAAAGCAAATCAGCTGAGGCTCACTCTTGATTTTCAGGTTTCATTCCTGGTATGCATAACAAGGTTATTTTAACTACAAAGCTGTTGCCTGGGGTACTTTGTTGTGGGTGCTCCAGAGTTTATGCTGTTCAGCAGGAAATATGCAAAGTATATACTGTCTGTCTGTCTGGTTTGATGACCTTGTGTGCTTTACCTCACATTTATATGTAAGATCACAGTTGTTCTAACAACAAAAATGTYGGTGTTCGTATAGTTCTTTAGTAGTTGGTTGTAGTGGTCTGGTACAACAGTGTCTGCTGACAGAGCTGTATTAATTGTATTGATCCTTACAGAACCGTTTCAATGGAAAATAGTGTCTTTCGGTGTTCAGTATTAAGAAGCAGTAGAAAAGTTCATTTCCTTACAGTAGCTTGACTAAAGTAAGAAGTAACTGTGGAATAATACCAATTGAAATGTRTATTACATGGTCTAATTAATTTATCTCATATTACAGCTGTAGCTGTAGCTACCACTCTCCCGATATTGTAATTGTGGAAGATGATAATGAAGATGAATATGCCCCTGTAATTCAAGGGGATAAAAGCACTGAATCAGTTGCTGTCCCAGGTAATGATCCAGTCAGCCCTGTCGGTGACAGCACAATCCCACTCATGTCAAGTGCTGTACAGCTGAATAACCAGTCAACTTTAACTGCAGAAGATCCAGTCTCTGTGATGGATTCCATACTCAATGAAAATGGAGTAATTTCACAGAATATAAATCTTCTTGGAAAGTAAGTAGTCTGGCTTTTTTTTTTTCAAGTATTTGAACTGATTATTTGACTGAAGTAAAAAGAGCTGAACAGCATTTTCTACTGAGAGCTTTAAATTTACAGGCCGCTGTTAATCCAGCCAGTTTCTAAAGATCCTTCTATTTTAAGTATTCTGTGATGGGAACCTCTAACTATCATTGTTAAGCAATGTGAGGTGTGTAATCTGGTAGTATAATGCTGTGATTGTTTAAATYGTCACGACTTACTTTTTCACTTCTGCAGGTGGATTAGACCCATTAGGGCTATGTGGATGCAAGAATTGCATCTCTGCCAATCTCATATCATCGTTACGTTACGTTGATGTGATTCCTGTGATACCTGCTTTAGAGCACCTGTCTGCTGTGCTTGGGTTTTAAAGAGGCTAAAAGTTTTCATTTCTTTCCAAAGGTCATTTCTTGTGAAAGACTTCGTTCTAATTCTGCCGAAGATTGTTAGATGCATGTAGTACATCTTTATAAAGCTTATTTGAGGATTTCTTACTTTATTAGGGGATACAGCAATAAAATACTGTTTGTTTTCTAGAGTTGAACTTCTGGATTATCTGGACAGTATCGATTGCAGTTTAGAGGACTTCCAGGCTATGTTATCAGGACGACAGTTCAGCATAGATCCAGATCTTCTGGTTGATGTAATTTTGATTTTAAGTATTTTGGTAATAGGCTATAGAAAACATTTGTGTGTGTTGTTGCTGTTCAGAATGGATTTAAACCACAATTTTTTTTTCCTTTCTTCCATTTACGGAGGGAAGTTATAAATATTTGTGAATATGAATTTCTAAGCACTGGTATAAGTCTCAGTGCTATACCACTGTTCAAGTGAATGCTTAAGTTTCTTATTGAAAAATGGCTTTCTTAATGAAATAATGTTTGTATTTGTTGTGATGTGAACTTAGATGTCAAATAGATTAATGCTCTTGCTTTGAAATAACCCAAGTCCATCATCTATGTTCTTCCCAATGAACTGGGGTTAAAAAGAACTTTTCTCCCTGTAGAAGACCGTGCTGCTGGCAGGGTGTTGTCTGCCATGACTCACTCTCTGAGGAGCTGCTCCCTGTCCATTTGTTCCCTAACCCTCACCTGGGCTAGTGCAGGAGGTTACTGGTCTTGGTGACATGTGGCTGTTGAACGTGGTGGAGTGCCTGTTGGCCTCTCTCCCACTTCACTGGGATCTCTCTTAACAGCAGCTCTGCTCTCCACTTACTGATGACTCCTTCCAGCTTGGTGTCGCTTGCAACTTGAGTTCATCCATATTGTAGACAAAATTATCCGTGAAGCAATGTCAGAAGAAGCTGGTGTTTTAAGACTGCTGCAAACTTAGATGCCATACAGTTGTTTCCTTTGTGATCAAGCTTCATGGAATTTCAAGCCATTGTGCTCCAAAGCTGTATTTTCTTTGCGAAAGCAGTAATTATCTGTAAATAAACTCCAATCCTCATAGAGGTGGAATGAGTACAGGAGTTATTCTCACAAATGCAGAAGCAGTGGTCTTGTATTCTTAATAGCAACATTGAGATACCTAAAAGTTGATGTTTTTTGTCTCATTCAGCTTTTTACAAGCTCGGTGCAGATGAATCCCTCAGATCATGATCATATCACTAATACCAAAGTAAGTCTTAAATCCATTGCTCAATGTACACAGTAGTGAGAGAAGAAAATTCATTCATGTTTTGCTGTTTTCTTTACGGGAATCGTGGCACTTCATGATCTGCCTTTTAAGACTTGCATGAGCATGAGACTAGAAAGACTGCAGCTGACTTCATCCTATTGGGCTTTAAAATGCAAAGGAAAAAGCGCACTAATTAATTAGTAATATCCTTTTAAACTTGTATTACCTTGAYGCTGATACCTGTATATTGTACTAGTCGCCTGACTGTGTATTCCCTGAGATTTTATTACATGCAAACATGGTATGCACTTTTATCAGAATGGTTTCATCTGTATTGGCTGGTGGGAAGAAAAACACAGTAATAAGCAATGGAGCAAAGATTAAGTACTTTGCATTTGTTCTGTTCATTTAAAGTACTAGATTTGGTTCTTGCACTGTAGCCTCTGTTTCCATTTTATGTTTTCTCAGCCAGGGTGTGTTAGTGTGGGTAGTACTGATAATGCCACTRCATCTCATCACTAATAAAAAATAATTTTTTTTTTGTGAAAAGTTGGTAAAAGGYAAAAGTTGCAAAAGGCTTTAAACATATGTTTAAGAGTTTGCTTTTGTTCCCAGATGGAGACAAAGGGAAAAGAAACCAACAAGAATAATGCTGGTCCAGCGGCTTCACAGGAAATGCAAGGTACTAAACTCAAATCAGGTTAGTTGTAGTGATTTATTGAAACACAGTTAAACATGCATTGTTCTAAAAGCCATCTCAGTTACTTGCTCATTGTCCTCCTTTGATTTATGTTATGCTCATAAATAACCAAAACACAATACTTAGTATGTTTCCTTTTTAGATTTTTGACTCTGCTAGATGCAGAGAAATTGATTTTTTGCAGATGAATCTGCACAAATAATAYTATGTGTGAACATAACAATTCTTTAAAAACACATTTAAAACAAGTTCCTATAGYGTTTTTAGTTATTGTTTAAATAAGTACTGTGGGTTGGATTTTGTTTTTCTTCTTCTGCATGTAGAAAGGCACATGATGGGCATTTTTATCCCAGTAGATAAGCAGCTGATACACTACACTGCGTTTCCACTGCTCGCATTCCTTGATGGGAACCCAGGCTCTGCTGTTGAGAGTGGGAGCTTCACAGCTGAAACTCCTTCCACTGTTGACAAGTCTCTGGAAGGGGATGAGCTGCTGGAGAGCAGCCTGGATCCTGAGCCCACCCAGAGCAAACTGGTGCGTCTGGAGCCGCTGACGGAGGCAGAGGCAAGTGAAGCCACACTGTTCTACCTGTGTGAACTTGCCCCAGCACCCATGGACACGGATATGTCCTTCTTGGATAACTGATGTGAGGGAGACTGTATATAGTCATGAAGATGAACTATTTATTTAGAACATTGTTTGGTATGAGAGTTTTTGTAAATCACTGTTTTATGTAACCAGATATGTGGAATCTGAAGTACCTTTCCTATCTTATACAAGCAGTTGTTTAGCTACAGAGTTAGACAAGCCACCAGGCACAGCTGGCACTGCTGAGCCAGGCTGCTGCTGCACTGCTGTGAACACTTGGTGTTGCACACATCGCTTGTACCGCGGGCAACCCAACACTTGTCAGTAGTGAGCTTTGGTTTATGGTTTCTTATACTGTCTTACATATGATGACATAAATTAGTAGTGTATGGTTAGGGAGCACTGACTTTCTGTATTTTGGGGGTTTTATTTTTTACATTTTGTTTAACACATATGAGGCTTTATTGGGGTGGGGGGACCAGGACCTGATGTAGGCTTTTTTTTTCCCTGCTTCRGCTGGGAACAAAGTGCCTGTACCTTGCTAATTCTTGGTTCTGCCTTACTTTCACTTCAGTGGAAGTGCTCACACAGCACAAACTGGGGAAAAGTTTTTGACAGCTGCCAGGCCCCATGACTGCATGAGTACTTTTAACTTGGACCATCTATGCTGACAAAATAAATGTTACTTAAGTGTGATAAATTGTCAAGGGTTTGTCTCTTATTTCTTGTACAAGGTGGGTATGGATTTAACACCCTCTTGTTTTCCCATCTTAGTAGATGTGCAAAGTCTGCTGTGGACAATTACTAGGAAATAGTTTCATTATCTCCAGACTGAAGGGTTTATTGATAAACCTCCAAACCGGATGTCTAATGCAGCAAACTGTTTTCCAGAAGTAGCACACAGAAGGGTGCTCCCTCTTTGATTTCTTACTGAAAACGGTGGCAGAGCCCCATTGCTTTCCTTCCAGTAGAGGAGCCCTACCCCTCCTCCCAGGTGTGCGTCCATTGCTGCACACACAGAAAGCCACAGTTGCTGCAGTGAGTTTCTGTAGCTGCTACAGAGCCAGAGGCGTTCCTGCACCACTAGGTGAATGGCCAGCTGACTTTAAACCAAATCATCTCACCTTGAGATGATTTTAATATACACAGTAAGTCAAACCTTAACTAAAAGTAAATTTTGATGAACTCCAGAGCATGAAGGCCCAGCTAAGGGAGAAACTGGGTTTCAGTAACTTCATACATCCGAAACAAAATATTCCCCAACTCCCACAGTGGATTCAAATTTTCTTTTTCCAAAGGAGTYATTCGGCCACTTGTATGAGGAGCTGTGTCCACAGAGCTGTCTGTTCATCTGAATTCAGCAACTTACTGTTTATTACAGGACTTACGATATGCTGTAGTAGGACTGGTGTTCAGGTGTTTTACCTGAATTTAAACAGGTGCAGTCCGGGGTGGGGCAGCAGTTGATGAGGCAGGAATGCAGTAGGAGGTGCAAGGCGTGTTCTTGCAGAGACACGGCTCCCAAGGGCACAGAACTGTCAAGAGAGCTTCATCCTGGGGCTTACACCTGACCTCCCAAAGAGCTGGGAACTCACTGCCTCGCAGGTGTGATGATCCCCCTCACAGGGGATRACAGTATAACATAAACCCTTGCAGTGGCCACATCTGGCAGCAGTATGAGACAGCAAAAGACATTGGACATCTTCCTCCAAATTTATTTATTAATAAGGTAACAACATATTCCAAATGATTACAAGCCTTTACTGATCTTTCCATTACTGTTGCAAGTTTGACTGACATGTCAGACTTCTGCAGTAAATGTCCGTGTTCAGGTGCAGAATTAAAATAGAATATCAACAGGAAGTCACAGTTACAAACACCACAGAAAGAGATGAGCATGACATCTGCTGCAGGCTTCAGGGTCACTCCCAGGCAGGCTGCTCTAGGCTCAAATTGTGACAAGTAACAGAGAAATAATKCAGCTTATGTACTTCAGTTGCAAAGCAGCAAGCACAAAAGCATTTTAAGATTTTGTAACTGCACAGGAACTATGCCTAGATGGAGACTTTCTAGGCTTAAGTCCATCTCTGGCAATGGACAACAAGCAAAATACCTAATACAGCAAAAGATTTCAAGATTCGGAGTCCCAAATATTTCAAGAAACACTTAAGCCTCAGTAAATGCAAACCTCCTCCTTTAGTTACTGTAATTTCAGTGCTCCTTTTTCTCCATTTATATTTTATTCACAATACTCAAACAAYTCCTCCAATGGGCTTACACAGCTTTCACCACTTCGCTCCTTGCAAACTCCATGATTGTAGCTTAGCCAAGAAGAAAGTGGCACACAAAACAGCAATAAGTTACAGCACAACTATGCCATTTAAACTACTTTAAAAAACAATTATAATATGTAGATGCACATTGTAAACCGGTGTCTTAAAAACATGCTTCTGAGCATCTGATACCAGGATATTTCTCCTCAGGGTGCCTGTCCTCCTATGTGTGCAATGGAACACAATGGACTAGCTCCTCTGCAGCTCCAGGTGCAAGTTTCCCCCTCACATCTGTGCTGAAGGTACTGCTGCCATCGGCATGGGAAAGGTCAGGCTGTTAGTGCTGAAGTGCTGCAAGATGTCCAGTGAACTCCAACGTGCTCCATTTTGAGTCTTAACAATGCTTACTCAAGGCTTACTTTGGAATCAAGGCAACAGGGATCATCAAAGGCAGCCCCTCCTTCACTTGCAAAGCCTGACCTAGCACTTTAGTTAACCTCTTTAGTTACCCTAATTAACACTTGCACTTTTTTTTCCTACAACTATTTAATGCAATTGAGGGGAAAAAACCCATACTTCCAAAAGTTCTTGATCTCAACTCTCGTGCTCCCAAAGCACTCATGCTAGGAGTAATCCTATGAAAACCATCATTACAACAATTAGCATTGAGCTCAGCTAAAAAAGTCATTTAGTGAAATGACAAGACATGATTCAAGGTAATCATGCAGGATAAAGCAAGGAATACTACCTGGACAGTGCACACACACACATATTTACATCCGCACTATTACCCAGAATACTGTTTGTTTCAGGGATACGTGGCGCTGACACACCCTCCCTGGAGAGCAGCACAGCTTAGTCAAAGTCGCGGTTGGTAAGAACCAGCGGTGCCACCAGAGTCCACACGTACAGCACKATGCCAATCCAGCTGGAAGAGATCTTCACCCACACAGACGGCCACTTGCTGGTCATTGTCTCATATGTAGAATCCGGACTGTGAAAGAAGTAAAAGAAAAAGGATCATTTGAAACGTTTTTTTTCAATCCAACAGGCCTGTGTTCTAAGACACCCTTCAACACTGTTTTCACAGATCATTTTCACTTCACACCTCAAAGGGCCCTTCTTCCAGACAGTTCACACCAGTCTACAAGAACACAATTTCTAAACTGGTGTCACAGGAAGAGGGAAAAACAACAGCAGCTCAAAAAATACTTGATAAGCGAAGCAGTCAAGAAGCAGATATAATTACAAGGAATCTCAAAGCAAATCTGCAGAAAGGCAATAAATGGATAGCATTTAGAGATACAAGTAATGTATGTTGCCTTGCCAAAGAACAACACCTAGAGAAATTAATYATCTTGATGTCGTATTAACCCAAGTAGGGCCACAAATCAAATCCAAARCAGGACTATCTATCAAGAATTACTTCTGAAGGAATATATTTCTATTGCTATTCTACATGCTATTTCACCACAAATTGTTGTTTGCCAAATAACTAGAAACRATAATTTGTATTTTTTAATTCTGAAGAACATGTGATCAGGCTGTTAACAACAATTCACACACAGAACTATTTTACTGCAAGCATTTTTTCAAGGAGCAGACAACCTGATTYCCTTCCACCATGCCCTGTCACAGAATGGCTGTGATTGGAACAGACCGCTGAAGATTCTCTGGTCCAACTCTGCTGTTCCAGCAGGGACATCTAAAGCCAGCTGGCCCAAATGGCTTYTGAGTACCTCCAAGGATGGAAACACCGCAACATCCCTTGGCAACCTGTGCCAGTGCTCAGTCACCCTTGCAATAAAAGTGTTTCCTGATGTTCAGAGGGAACCACTTGCATTTCAGTTTGTGCCCTTGGCCTCTGGCCCTGTCACTGCGCMCCACTGAGCAGTCCCAGCTCCATCCTCTTTGTACCACTGCTTCAGACGTTTCTGTGCATTGATGAAACACCCCTTGGGCTATCTCTTCTCCCAGCTGAACAGTCTCAGCTCTCTCAGCTTCTTCTCATGTAACAGATGCTCCAATCCCTTCATCATCTTTGTGGCCCTTTGCTGGACTCTCCCCAGTACATCCATGTCTCTCTCATAATGGCAAGCCCCAGAACTGCAGGAGTGACCAGTGCTGAGTAGATGGGAAGGAACCTCTCTGCCTTGACCTGCTCATGTAACATGTCCTTTTTCTAGCTCTCTGTACCAGACATGGGCCTAGTGTTTACTGATTTCAAATTGTTACAGACTTTATCCTGTTACAGACTTTATCCTGTTTGCTTCAGCAGAATGTATTTCAGCAGTTCAGTGAATGACAAGAATCACCCTAGAAAGTACGACAGGCACTTGTGAACAACGCTGGCTACCGTTTTCAAATACAATTCCCTAAAAGCAACTCAAACAGTAACTTCCCTTGAGAAGACTCATACAAGACCTACATTCCAGAGCACACAACTTGTGCCTCCTTATACAGGAAGAGATGGCATCTTGTACGTTCGTTACTAGCACAACATTTAACCAWATGTAAATACCTGTACCAGTTGGTAAGCGTCATCATGATATACAGTGATGCCAGGAAAAGCATGAAGTGAAAGAAGGAGTAGCTGTAAGTAACTCCATCCCTTTCATTATCTATAGCTCGGTGAACATCATCTCCATCATCAAGGGAGCCATCACTCCTGGGCATTCCATCCTCTATCAGTGTTGATTCATCACTGGTCAGCATCAGCTTGTTAACCTGGCTGTTGTTGGATGTTCGGATGCTGGATTTGACAGAAGAGGACATGGTACAGTTACCCAAATAAATACCATTTAGTATCAAACAATAAGAAGCAATACAAATTGATTTTTTAAAAGGAATCTTACCTTGAATAGAGAACACATAGTAAAAACAAAACCAGTCCTACAATTCCTTGTGCATCCCACCACTGCACTACCTGACCTTGGGCTGGAATGGTGGTGCTGTTGTAACCAATGATGCTCAGCAGACTGGGGTTACAGCGCCTGTCTGTGAGGGAAACTGCATTAGAACTTACATAAAACAGAACAGGACAAATATTTAAGAGCACATTTCCATGCTGAATGTACAGAAATAGAAACGAACTTCGTGACTGTGACAGTCTTGAAGCAAAAAAGCTTTGAATTTAATTTTAGCCTACTGAATCTCTCTAGAGTAGGGAAATGACAGTATATGGCATAAAAATCTGTCTCTTCGAGCAGATAAAAGGATTTTGAACTTATGTAAGATATGCATCAACTGCTTTACTATTCCATCTCATATAATTCGACGCAACAAAATTAACATCTTTGCATACTGAACTTCAGGAATTTTACTGCTAGAAAACAAGTTTGACAAACATTCTACAGACAGGGTACCTGAGTCATCTCAGAATTGGAAAACAATGCCAGTTAAGTCACTTTTTTATTATGAGTGGTTC